GGAGGAAGTAATTGGTTGCCGACTAATGTTTATCATAAGTGATGTAGGGTACTTTGTACACATGCATGCATGTTCCATCTCCATCAACAGATGGTGGTAGGACATTGAAATGTAAGTTTGTTGCCAACCTCAGCAAATTGTTTTGCTGTCTGTGGTTTTACTAGGTGATTTTACATCCAGTTGTTTGCCACTGCTTCCTGAACTGTCAACATTTATACCATCACTGAAATAAATAAAAAAAATCTAACCTGCAGTTCATGGCGACAGCACTAGTTATGCGACCCTAAATCCTCAGGCTCAAAGTCGCCTGCCGTCACCACAAAGGGAGTATACAGGCAGTAATTAGTAATTTGTAGCTGAAATCAATACAAAGTGGTCTGCTGCCAAGCTGTCTGCATCTGAATTGAGCCCTGAATGTTGGCATTATAAAACTGCATTCAAAACCCCTAAGCCACAAATGAGAGAAGAAGGGATAAAATCCCTGTGGTAAAATAACTAGTCTACCATAGACATGTTGACACAACAACTATGGAACAGGAGGAAGGGTGGTTAAAGAAGAAAGTATTGCCAATATTTTAACATTGATTTCCCCAACACTGACCTTCCTGAATGACAGACTTGCTCGGTGTGACCTTCAACCAAGGCCGGCAAAAACTGGGCTCATTCAGCTTGTTGACAAACTCAAACTCCACGGGTACCTGTGTTCCATAAAACGCCTGGTTAGATCTGGTCTATACTGCTCTACCATGGGTGTTTAAAAGTTAGCTGGATATCCTTCAGAGGATGCTGCAAGCCAACCCCAGTTTGGTATTTGTTGTTGTTTGCTAGGCAATTTTTACATTCAGTCATTTTTCATTGCTTCTCGAACAGTGGGCTTTTGATTCCAATGTTAAATGAATGCAAAGCAGTTTGTTGCCAAATTGTCGGCAACTTGGGATGACAGAATTACAAACCGCCATAAATTTTCACAAAGCCATAGGTGTTTACAAGCTTTCTGGTAAGCAATATGGCTTCTTCAAGTTGCTGATAGTACACAATTCCTCTCGATCCATCCACCCATTCATGCATGCATCCATCCACCTGTCTGTTTGTCTATTTATCTACCTCTATCTGTCTGCTGTCTGCCAACCAACTGAACCAGTCTCCCTATCTATCCATCTATAAAGAGGCTGATACAGAAAATCTTCCTTGTACTTCTTCAGATGTCACCATGAATATATTTAAAGAAAGTAGCAGCCAACTTCAAGAAGCAGACATCTCCAAAGTGTCTGTCCTCAACGGGAGCAGCAAATGTATACCATGATAATGTTCTCTGTTCTACATTTGTCAGACCCAGACTCCCCATTGCTGCAGATGTTTAATCATCATGTTGCTAGTTTCACAGTTATATATATTATTAGCAGATCCTATGCTACGAACCAGTGGTATTTCACTCAGTAGTGTTTGCTGAAAATTGCTCCTTTTACTTTGGGCGAAATGGTAACCATCTTTCTGATGGCCTGGATTGCCTTATTTCCTTTTATAAGTGCTTTTAATAAACCACTTGACCTCATCATAGGTCATGTACGCATCAAGCTGTGGTAGTTTTCTACCGTTCTAATCTGTTTTGTTGACAAACTCAAGCTGCATTAATGTTCATTAACTCTTTGAGTCCCAGGGAACGCATCATACGTTCATAGGTTCCCGCTTAGAGTCCCAATGAACGCAAGATGCGCCGATTTTACATCTCTTTTGACAACCCCTTGGGCCTCTGATGCTAAACCCCCTGGGACTCGAAGAGTTAAAGCAAATTTTAAAACATTTATATGAAATATTTTAGCGAAGTGACGGCTGTTATGTTGCAGTGGCCGTCACACTTGCCTATCTACTTGGTTGTCATAAGTTTCACCCACATAGATTTTTACATAAATTTACAGAGGTTCTTAATTTCTTCTGCTTCTTTTTCTCTTCCTCTAGTTTCTCAGGGTAGTTTCACAGAATTATAGAACTGTATTTTGTTAAATTATTAATAGGGGACAAAAGGATTAACCAAAACCCTCAGTGTGTTCAAGCAAACAATAAAGGAAAAATAATGTGAATCCTGTACACACAAACCTGTGAAGCAAGTCTTATCTACTATCATGTTTTATGACTGATACTTCTAAGTAACTGTCAACAGTTTATACCCTCATCTGATTTTGTTCATGCATAAACAAATGTGGAACACACAATCTTCCTTTATGTTCAACAGTTTAATTTGTATGTGCTGATGAAGGCTCAATAGCCGCAACATTCATGTTTTGTTTGTATTTGTTATACTGTAAAGCTTGCTAATATACTTTTCATTCGGTTTTATATCTTTCCTTTGTGTTCAGACTTGTGTGAAATTCTATTAACTACTTTATCAGCCAGTTTTACTGCATTAGCTATCTCTGCAACTGTCCTTTCTCAATCCTAGTTTATGATTTGACACTTTAACTGTATTTCTCTCAGTGAACTCAAAAGACAGTCTTCCAGACATGATCAGCAAAAGTGAAAGCCCATACTCAAACTGTTCAAACCTTTTTTTTAAAGGAAGTATACAAGTGACAGGAATAATGAAATGCCAGTTCCATCGACCTGTGTATTTCTTGCCAGGTTTGTTCCCTGTAATAGTGAGAATTTATCACATGTCTCATGTTTTTCTAACATTACCCCATCCCCCCCGCCCACATCCCCCCTGCTTCTGTGCCACACGAATGATGTCATGAAAATTACTGTATAGATTCTCACCTGTCCGACATTGGCAACAGTCACCGTTTGTGACTGCACTTCAAGAAACTTGACATCTTTAAACACACACTGAAATACAAATAACAATTCTATAAATAATAAAATCACCACAGGAAGTCATTCGAGCATAGATTGTCACTGCAATTCTAACATAAATTAACACATCACAGGAATCCTAACACACACTAGCGTACATAACTAGAACTCTAAAGAAACACGGGCACTTGTTATCAGAATGTTAACACACATAACCAGAATCCTAACACACACAACAAGAATCCTAACACATAAACCATAATCCTAACACACATAACCAGAAACCTAACACACATAACCAGAAACCTAACACACATAACCAGAAACCTAACACACATAACCAGAAATCTAATACACATAACCAGAAACCTAACACACGTAACCAGAAACCTAACACACATAACAAGAAACCTAACACACATAACAAGAAACGTAACACACATAACCAGAATCCTAAAACACATAACTAGAATCCTAACATAAATAACCAGAATCCTAACACACACAACCAGAAACCTAACACACACAACCAGAAACCTAACACACACAACCAGAAACCTAACACACACAAACAGAATCCTAAAACACATAACTAGAATCCTAACACAAATAACCAGAAACCTAACACACATAACCAGAAACCTAACACACATAACCAGAAACCTAACACACATAACCAGAAACCTAACACACATAACCAGAAACCTAACACACACAACCAGAAACCTAACACACATAACCAGAAACCTAACACACATAACCAGAAATCTAACACATAAAACCAGAATCCTAAAACACAAAACTAGAATCCTAACATAAATAACCAGAAACCTAACACACATAACCAGAAACCTAACACACATAACCAGAAACCTAACACACATAACCAGAAACCTAACACACATAACCAGAAACCTAACACGCATAACCAGAAACCTAACACACATAACCAGAAACCTAACACACATAACCAGAAACCTAACACACATAACCAGAAACCTAACACACATAACCAGAAACCTAACACACATAACCAGAAACCTAACACACATAACCAGAAACCTAACACACATAACCAGAAATCTAACACATAAAACCAGAATCCTAAAACACATAACTAGAATCCTAACATAAATAACCAGAATCCTAACACACATAACCAGAAACCAAACAACCATAACCAGAAACCTAACACACACAACCAGAATCCTAAAACACATAACTAGAATCCTAACATAAATAAACAGAAACCTAACACACATAACCAGAAACCTAACACACATAACCAGAAACCTAACACACATAACCAGAAACCTAACACACATAACCAGAAACCTAACACACATAACCATAATTCTAACATAAATAAGCAGAATTCTAACATATACAAGCATTGTTAACCAGAATCCTAACACACATAATGTATCTATGGTCACACAGCAAGAAGCAGAACCTGGTGACAGTCACCTGGTTCTCATTAAACAATCATCTTTCCAAAACACCAATGCCAATGGCTCCTCCATACCACTGTCGAAACCAGCGCAAGGCCCGCAGCTGGGATCGAACTCGGCACTCCAGCATTACGAGGTGCGTTCGCAACACCTTGGTCACAGACGCCAATTGAAATACTTAGGTATACCATTCAACAGATGCTTAGCATTTAAAAACCACGCAGACCACATTATAGCCAAAGCAAGAAAGGTCTCTCTGCAATAAAAGTTATGGGAGCTGCAAATTTGAGCAACAGCTACTTGTAATGTTTATAACGTGCATTAGTTCTCTCCACAACTGAATATGCATTGGCCATCATGACACTCAGCAGCACACAGATGAACAGACCCAAAAAATTTAAAACGAGGCAATGTGTATTATTCTTGGATACACTAGAGACACCTCCTGTAAATCCATGCGATACCTCCTGGATTTCCCCACAATGAAAAACAGAATCAAGCGATCCAGTGCTGTTGCTTTCCTCAAAGTGAAATCAGACCATCGACACCCACTTCAAGAGGAATTATTCAAGCAAAAACAAGAATAGACTTAAACGAGGATGGGTGGCGCCGAGGACGCCATCAAACATTGTTTGCCGCCTTACTGACATTAATTTTGGAATTGAATGGATACGAACGCCTTCTACTGCAAACATTAACAGTACAGTCCATATCACACTTGATGGAAGCTGTAGAGAGCAGATTCCTGGCATTGTTGACACTTTAGTCAGAACACTGATTGTCGAAAACACAGATGAAGGTGATGCTATAGTTCCTACAGATGATCAGTAATTCAGGGCAAGCGAAGTGCATGGGCATTCACAGTAAGCTCAAGAAGGAAACCATCAAAGAGATGAATGGTGCCTTTGCTATTACAACTAGTAGCCTTACAATGGAAGCTATGGCTGTAACAAGAGCATTAGCATAGCTTGGTACTCAAGAGTTCACACTGTGTGCATACCTAGTGACTTGATGAATATGTTTGCAAAATTCCAAGCTGGTTGGATTAGGCAAAAATGGATTGCAACAATAAGCACTTCATGAATGGCTGCCCTAATCTTCATCTTGGTGGCAGGCCATGCGGGAGCTCAATGGAAGAAGCGTGCAGATTATCTTGCTGACACTGCAGTTGCTATGGCTGGTCTAGTAAGCGATGTTATCAATGTCATGCGCAACAATTGCCGTGATGCCAAAGGGCATAACTCGGAATCCCTGACTAGGCTGATGGACATGGGGGTGCAGGCTGGAGCTGCAAGAAATGAACATTTCACAAAGGGGACAAGACGTTTCATTAACCAACACAGAACAGGCGTCATCAGTCATTTTACACTTTGGGAGTTTCTGAGGAGGAGATAGGAGCACCTGTCTGGAGTGCTTTGATGACAAACCTTACTAATCACTGATTACTAATCTCACATGTTAAACATTAAAAAAAAATCTATTATAAAACTGTATTATTACTTACCTCTGTTTTATCTAGTTTTATCTGTGGTAAATATTCATTCTCCATGCGATCGAGTTTCTTCATGACTTCTTCATAAACAAACTTATATCGTTGTTGATCAATGACTCGCACCTGTAAGCACAGAGGGAACAAATTAAACTGACAAACTCATTCTTGTGCAAAGAGAGAATAACAAATGGAATTCACACATAAACCCTTGTGGGGGTGGATATATATATGTCAGATGAATATGGGGATAGAACAGTGTATTGATAACATGACGAGCATGGGGATAGAACAGTGTATTGATAACATGATGAGTATGGGGATAGAACAGTGTATTGATAACATGATGAGTATGGGGATAGAACAGTGTATTGATAACATGACGAGTATGGGGATAGAACAGTGTATTGATAAAATGATGAGTATAGGGACAGAACAGTGAATTGATAAAATGATAAGTAAGGGGACAGAACAGGGTATTGATAAAATGATACGTATGGGGATAGAACAGTGCACTGATAACATAATGAGTATGGGTTACAACAATACTCACCCCAACTTTGAACAGAGAACTAATAGGTTTATGGTCTGAGAGCTTCATCTGAGGATGTGAACTGAACCGCAGCTGCTGGACCCCTGAACCGCTCCACAGGATGCGGTCACACCATGCAGGTATTCGATTCTTCTCACTAGCATACCGAAATATATCATGAAAGGTTTTTATCTAACATGTCAAACCATTAATTCTTCCTATTTTACACAAATAATTACTACTAGAACATTAACCAGGGATAGAACTGAGCCGTTCCGTGTGTGTTCCGGGGCTCCATTGTAGGAAAAACAAAAATGGACCCACTGCCTCGACAACAAGCATTTCGTAAGAGTCCAATAATTGGGGGCTTCCTTCAAAATCTGTGTGCATCTGCCTGAGAGGCAAGGAACCAACAGTCTGCATATATATAAATCACATAAAGAAGAAGAAGAAAAAGAAGAGGAAGAAGAAGAAGAAGAAGAAGAAGAATTAAGCCATTCCCAGATCCCAGTTTTCTTAAGTCGTACAAGAGAGAACAATATCATCGACAGAGTTCTAGCCAACAACTAGAAAGCTCTAAACCGAAGGTATGGTTTATTAATATGCGTGTAAAAACCTAAGCCACGATGTCTATATCAAAGATGTTTTCATTTACCTGCATCAGACCCTTGGTTGCCTGTGTGGGTTTTAGGGGCCCCATTGTGTGGAAAACAAGAATATACCCAGTGCCTCCCAAACAAGCATGTCATAAGAGTCAACTAACTTGGGGTTTCTTTCGAAGTCGGAGTGCATCTGTCTGACAGGCAAGGAACCAACAGTCTGCATAAAAATAAGTCAGACTGGTAATGAATGCGAGGAAGAAGAAGAAGACCCTTAAGTCAGACTGCTGGGGCAAGCACACACAATTTGTGGAAAAAAAATAGTTCAGGGAGTACGAGTCATTGTAAAAACTGAAAAGGTAAATGATATGGATGGTGACCACTTGAAAATATTTAGAAAATTGTTTTCATGATGACCAGATGTGCTGAAAGCCCAAGACGATGAGAAAATTTTCCAACTGGCTGGAGGGACATTTCATTCCATCATCGTCCTCTTGTAGCTTGTGACATGTCAAGGAATGTTTAAATTACAGGAAAGTGAGGCTTAGCATCCTGTCCCAAAAGCTGCGGTAATCTGGCCACGTTAGATTTCATGGTGGCCAGGAGATAGAGGTGCAACAAAAAACGATGTAGAGGCAGACCTACACGGATGTGGATACAAGACCCTGAAGATGTGGATACAAGACCCTGAAGATGTGGATACAAGACCCTGAAGATGTGGATACAAGACCCTGAAGATGTGGATACAAGACCCTGAAGATGTGGATACAAGACCCTGAAGATGCATTGGCTAAGAAAGTTGGACAACTGGTTAGAGAAGACTTTAAGCCATGCTGTGGCAAGAGCTAAGTCCTGTAAAGGACCTGCTGCCTGATGATGATGATGTGAAATGCACAACACCTGCGGATGAGTTAAAGTGAGAATTCTGAGATGATGTATCTTTCCTGTGGCAACTTATGGATGTGAGTCATTGCTTCCCCAACTCTTGCTCAATCACTGTAGAAAAAATGGGAGACTTGGAACTTAATGTTGCAGAAACATTCTTACAATACTGTGGGCCAAAAGGAAGAAAAACGCTGATATCCTAAATGATCTTAAAATCAAGGAGAAATTACTAATAAACAGTATCTTGTCACAAAAGCTGAGGTATTTAGGCCATGCTAAATATTTTAGTGGCCTGGGAAACTGGTGATGCCAGAGTACAGTTCCAGGAAAAGGAGACAGAGGCCAACCTCTGCAAAGCTGGATAAAAGATGCTGAAGATGCACCGGCTATGAAAGGGCACACAGGGCTGGAGAATTGACTACAGACAGAAAGACCTTTAGGCGTGATCTGACGAGGGCCATGTTTTTTTTAAACAAAGAAAAACAAAAAAACCTGCTGACTGATGATGAAGCTCAATGTAACAAGAATGCAACAAGAAGCACATCTTTTAGTAGCTCCTGCCTCTTGTGCCTCGAGTGTTCAAGTCAAGTATATGCTAGGACAGTACCTGATGATGTTATCTGAAAATGTGGTTTCTCATTGACTTGCTTATTCCCCCTATCTACCATCTGTATAGAGATAAAGAGAAAATCTGGACACACGCTGGCACTAGTAGTTATAAGACAAGCAGGTGGCAGGCACTAAACTGGCACATCCTGAGGATAATAGAGAATTACCCAACAGAATTTTAGACGGGAAACAATGGATTGAAGAAATGAGGATGTCTAACAGAAATAAAGTGAACACTAATAATAGAGGACAAAGGTGCTTGGCCGGATTCCATCCATGATACTGAAACAACTGCACAGGACAGAATAAAGTGGAAGCATTAACTGTCAGCCCTATGTAACATATAAATATATTACACAGGATAGAAGAGAGTGGAAGCATCAACTGTGAGCCCTAGTAACATATAAATATATTACACAGGATAGAAGAGAGTGGAAGCATCAACTGTGAGCCCTATGTAACAGATAAATATATTACATAAGATAGAAGAGAGTGGAAGCATCAACTGTGAGCCCTATGTAACATATAAATATATTTCACAGGATAGAAGAGAGTGGAAGCATCAACTGTGAGCCCTATGTAACATATAAATATATTACACAAGATAGAACAGTGGAAGCATCAACTGTGAGCCCTATGTAACATATAAATATATTACACAAGATAGAACAGACTGGAAGCATCAACTGTGAGCCCTATGTAACATATAGATATATTATACAAGATAGAACAGAGTGGAAGCATCAAGTGTGAGCCCTATGTAACATATAAATATATTACACAAGATAAAACAGAGTGGAAGCATCAACTGTGAGCCCTATGTAACATATAAATATATTACACAAGAAAGAACAGAGTGGAAGCATTAACTGTGAGCCCTATGTAACATATAAATATATTACACAAGATAGAAGAGAGTGGAAGCATCAACTGTGAGCATTATGTAACATATAAATATATTACACAAGATAGAACAGAGCTACCAACAGTAATGTTTGTGTTGTATGTATTTATAAATGTAAAAAATATGCCAGTGAGTTTCCAAACATGTTTTATCAATACAGATATAAAACGAGACTAAAATTCAGTGTCAGAGTTGTGAAAGTTTTTTGTACCCCAAGGAAAGTTCTGCATGTCAGAACTGGCACAGAAAGCAGAAATATTGAAGATGATCAAGTAAATCTTTTTCTGCTTCAAGGTCACTGTAAACTCAGGGAGAAAGTTTTAGTTGTTTATCCACTTCTGGACTTTGGTCCTGTTCCAGAACTTGAGTTTTGTACTGCACACTGATTTCACAGAAGTGGCTTATTTGTATGCAGGCTGTTGGTTCCTTGCCTCTTGGACAGATGCACACTGAATTCAACAGAAACAACCTCCAATTAGTCGCCCTGTATGACATGCTCGTTAGGGAGGACAAACTGGGTTTACTTTTGTTTTCCCCTAATATGGAGCCTCTGAATCCACTAGGGGGATTTGATTTAATCCCTTGTGTGGGTTCCGGGGCCCCATTGTAGGGAAAACAAGAATAGACTCACTGCCTCCCCAAGAAGCATGTCGTAAGAGTCGACTAACTGGGGGCTTCCTGTGAAGTCGGAGTGCATCTGCCTGAGAGGCAAGGAACCAGCAATCTGCATACAAATAAGTCAGATCTTTAAAACAGATGCACATGCAAAACTCAGGTCCTGGAACAAGGCCAAAGTCCTGAAATGGACGAACAACCAGGTCTTTCCACTGGAATTTTTAGCCAGTGAAAGCAAACAACAACAATAACGATTAACAGCAGCTTTTTTTTTTAAAAAAAATCATATGCTCTGGAAATCGACCAGTGGTACATCAAGGTGTATCAAATGTAATCACTAGCCTATAAACCACAGAGCCGGTTTCATAACCTGATGCTTAAAAAAAAAAAAAAAACCAACATCGTAAGAAGAAAAAGAAAAAAGAGTTTATATTTTAAGTTTTTTCTGATGAGGCCTTACCTGGAGTCATAGTTATCAGTTCCAGGATCAAATTTATATGTTGGGTCAAAGTCAGGGATTCCTTCCTTAAAGCCCTTGAAGGCTTCTGAATTATTTTTCATCTGTCGATACAGCTGGGGGACGAGAGACAAGGGGGAATAAACACAGTGTCAGAAGACAAGAACATTAAAACAGATACACACTTTCAGTCCCAGCCATTTGTTACTACAATAGGTCCAAACAAAAGCTGTGTGTATAAACTGTCTTCACTGCAGCCTGTATGTGCCACCATTTGAGTGCAGCAGGACAGGGTTGTCATGAGCCTGAGAATTCAAGGCTGCACAGCTAGTGCAGTTGCCACGAACTGTGCAGGTTTTGATTTTTATTTGTGTATACTAGAATTTGTGTGGCTTAGGCATTGCAAATTCTTTGCAGTGCAGGGGTACTAAGTTTGATCCTAGCTGCAGGCAATTTGGCAGCAGACCATTTTGTGTTGGTTTTGACAGTAGTATCGAGAGCTGACCATTCAGGGATAATGGCAAACTAATGAACACAAATTTGCCTAGAAAAACAACAACAGCACAGCAAAAACTAATGGCTTTGTTTCAGTAACATTCTGTAGGGACATGCAAGTAAGTTTTATTTTTAAATGCTAGAGTAAAATCTTTGAGTGTTTATGAGTTAAAACAATACAGTTATGGGACAGAACTGGTGAATTCTTTCAGTCCCAAGCTACGTCTGGTGTGTGAGTGACTCTATCCCTTGATTGCCCTCCCCAGCACAATGTGCTCTCTTGATCTGAACTTCAGCAAGAACATGCTGAAAAAATAATACAGTTACCCTAACTATAATTATAACTGTTTATGTTGCTGCTTTGAAAGTAATACATTCACAATTTTTTTCACAATGCTGATTTCTCTATTTTGGTATCTCATGTGAATCACCTGGTACTCAAAGAGTTTACAAACATATCAGAAGAATGTGACAAAATTAATTCAGAAACATATACAAAATTCCTTCTTTTCGTTTGCCTGTTTTCAGCAGTACCGTGATATTTGCGCCTTTCAGCCAACACATCCGACTTCATCAAGCGTTTGTTGACCGATTGACTTTCTGGATGGTTTCGTGGGACAGGGACATGTTGTGGCCTTATTTGTGTGGTGTTCTCTTTGTCCCCTTATGGGGACACAGAGAGCTGCCATTGCTCCCTCTGTCTGTCCCTACCATGGTTCCCTCTGTCTGTCCCTACTATGGCTCCCTCTGTGGTGTTCTCTTGCCCATGGAGACCCCATTCAGGGCATCCGTATGTAGACTGGTTGGCCCTCAAGGAAAGGCAGGAGCAGATCATTGGGCATTCCCTGTCATCCACGGAAGCTTCCATAAATGGAGAGCCACACGACGCTGTGATCCTGGGCTGATGTGGGCTAGACCAGTCACTGCATCTCTATAGGTGCAGCAGGAGTCTTGCGTGAGGATCCGTAAAACCATCCAAGAGCCGGCTGGTGCTCCAAATGATGTACAGATTGGTTTGGTTTATACGATGGATCAACATCATAGCACATGGGTAGTAACCCATAAGTACTCCGTTCTGTTTCTAACTTAAGCCTGAGTCCAAAGAATGCGCAGTGTGCACTAACTCCTTAGCACCGGCAAAAATGTAAGGAGTAAATTCGTATATGCATCACAACGGCCTAAACTTTCTCTCATGCCTGTGATTGATATCACAGCGCCACATACAGTATTTAAAAACAATGTAGCTGCTTTTTATGACATAGCAATGCCGGCATATTTTGTGTGTGTGGTTGAACAAAATCTATCTCAACGAATATTTAAATGCACGACCATAAGAGTGGCAGGTAAGAGTGCAAGCCACAGCTACCTCGGTTTCCTTTGTCTGTCTGTTGCCAACATGAATCAGTCTGTCTATATGTTGCCAACGCGACTTCCCTCTGTCTGTTGCTACCATGACCCACTTCAGTCACTACCGTGGCTCCCTCTATCATAAGCATGGCCTCCTCTGTCTTTCTGTCAATACCACAGCTCCCTCTGTCTTTCTGTCAATACCATGGCTTCCTCTGTCAGGTACTATGATGGCTCCCTCTGCCACCATCACGGCTTCCTCTGTCTTTCACTACCATGAATGGCTCCTTCCTTCTGTCATTATTATGGCTAACTCTGTCTCTACCATGGCTCCCTCAGTCAGTTTGCCACTACCATGGCTCCCTTTTTGTCTGTCTGTCAGTACCATAGCTCCCTTTTGTCTGTCTGTCACAAACATGGCTATCTGTTTGTCACAACCATGGCTTAGTTACTGTCACTACCAAGGCTCCCTGTGATAAACATTATGTGTGTTTTTCGTTGGCACAGGAGCGGAGCAAAGATGGGGTGACCCGTTTGCTATGAAGATGAAACTAAGACTGCCAGACTACCAGACCAAGGCTCCTTCTGTCCGTGCTACCATGGCTACCTCTGTCTGTTGATATACCATGGCTCCATCTGTCTGTCCATCAATACAATTGCTAACTCAGTCTTCTGATGCTATACCATGGCTCCCTCTGTCTATTACTACCATGGCTTCCTCTGTCTGTCACTACCATAGCTCGCTGCTTGTCACTACCATAGCTCGCTGCTTGTCACTACCATGGCTCCCTCTGTCTGTTGCTACCATAGTTCCTTCTGTCTGTTGCTACCATAGTTCCTTCTGTCTGTTGCTACCATGGCTCTCTCTGTCTGTCACTACCATGGCTCTATCTGTCTGTTGCTACCATAGTTCCTTCTGTCTGTTGCTACCATGGCTCTCTCTGTCTGTGCCCGTCTCTCTAGCGTAGTTGGCTAAACCGGATTGCGCGGTTAGCGGGTAACGAACTCCTTGTGTCCGGGTTCACATGGCTCCCTGTCTGTAGGCATGGCTGCCTCACATTTCTCCCAGATTCTACGGTATTTTAAAATGGAATCAAAGCTGAAAGGTTGCTCCCTCTATCCACTAATACCGCTCCCTAAGGGTTAACAACTCATGGCTGTCACTACCATACTAAAACATCTGTCACAAACATGGCTCTCTTTGTCTGTCACTACCATGGCTCTGTCTGTCACTACCATGCTACCATCTGTCACTTCTGCTCCCTCTGTCTGCTACCATGGCTCTCTCTGTCTGTCACTACCATGGCTCTATCTGTCTATTGCTACCATAGTTCCTTCTGTCTGTTGCTACCATGGCTGCCTCTGTCTGTCACTACCATGACTCTGTCTATTGCTACCATAGTTCCCTCTGTCTGTTGCTACCATGGCTCTCTGTCTGTCACTACCATGGCTCCCTCTGTCTGTCACTACCATGGCTGCCTCTGTCTGTCACTACCATGGCTCCCTCTGTCTGTCACTACCATGGCTCCCTCTGTCTGTCACTACCATGGCTCTCTCTATCTGTCACTACCATGGCTTTGCTCTGTCACTCCATGGCCCTCTGTATCTGTCACTATCTCTATCTGTCACTACCATGGCTCTCTCTGTCTGTCACTACCATGGCTTTCTCTATCTGTCACTACCATGGCTCCCTCTGTCTGTCACTACCATGGCTTTCACTATCTGTCACTACCATGGCTCTTTCTGTCTGTCACTACCATGGCTTTCTCTATCTGTCACTACCATGGCTCCCTCTGTCACTACCATGGCTCTCTTTATCTGTCACTACCATGGCTCTCTCTATCTGTCACTACCATGGCTTTCTCTATCTGTCACTACCATGGCTCTCTCTATCTGTCACTACCATGGCTTTCTCTATCTGTCACTACCATGGCTCTCTCTATCTGTCACTACCATGGCTTTCTCTATCTGTCACTACCATGGCTCCCTCTGTCTGTCACTACCATGGCTTTCTCTGTCTGTCACTACCATGGCTCTCTCTGTCTGTCACTACCATGGCTTTCTCTATCTGTCACTACCATGGCTACCTCTGTCTGTCACTACCATGGCTCTCTCTATCTGTCACTACCATGGCTTTCTCTGCCTGTCACTACCATGGCTTTCTCTGTCTGTCACTACCATGGCTTTCACAGTCTGTCACTACCATGGCTTTCACAGTCTGTCACTACCATGGATCCCTCTGTCTGTCACTACCATGGCTTCCTCTGTCTGTCACTACCATGGATCCCTCTGTCTGTCACTACCATGGCTCCCTCTGTCTGTCACTACCATGGATCCTCTGTCTGTCACTAACATGTTCCCTCTGTCCATCTGTCACTATCGTGGCTCCCTCTGTCTGTCACTAACATGCTCCCTCTGTCTGTCACTAACATGCTCCCTCTGTCCATCTGTCACTACCATGGCTTCCTCTGTCTTGTCACTACCATGGATCGCTCTGTCTGTCAGTAACATGCTCCCTCTGTCCATCTGTCACTATCATGGCTCCCTCTGTCTGTCACTAACATGGCTCCCTTTGTCCATCTGTCACTACCATGGCTGCCTCTGTCTGTCACTAACATGCTCCCTCTGTCCATCTGTCACTACCATGGCTCCCTCTGTCTGTCAGTAACATGCTTCCTCTGTCCATCTGTCACTACCATGGCTTCCTCTGTCTTGTCACTACCATGGATCGCTCTGTCTGTCAGTAACATGCTCCCTCTGTCCATCTGTCACTATCGTGGCTCCCTCTGACTGTCACTAACATGGCTCCCTTTGTCCGTCAGTACCATGGCTTCCTCTGACTGTCACTACCGTTATACCTTCTGTCTGTCTATATGTTTCTTTTTCTTGTTTCTTAATCTTTCTCTGAAATAATACCTGGTCACCTTGTAACAATCGCTCATATGTGCGTTTTTTAATGTAAGACCTGACATCATCCAGGGGTAGATCAATGCGGTAGTTCAAGTCCCCACACCAAAATACAATGCTGAAAAAAGAACAGAACATGATACTGAGAAGAGAACAGAACATGATACTCAGAAGAGAACAGAACATAATGCTGAGAAGAGAATAGAACACGATGCTGAAAAAAAAGAACAGAACATGATGCTGAGAAGAGAAAAGAACATAATGCTGGGAAGAGAACAGAACATAATGCTGAGAAGATAGCAGAACACGATGCTGAAAAAAAAAGAACAGAACATGATACTGAGAAAAGAACAGAACTTGATACTCAGAAGAGAACAGAACATAATGCTGAGAAGAGAACAGAACACGATGCTGAAAAAAAGAACAGAACATGATGCTGAGAAGAGAAAAGAACATAATGCTGGGAAGAGAACAGAACATAATGCTGAGAAGATAGCAGAACATGATGTTGAAAAAAAAAAGAACAGAACATGATACTGAGAAAAGAACAGAACTTGATACTCAGAAGAGAACAGAACATGATACTCAAAAGAGAACAGAACATGATACTGAGAAGAGAACAGAACATGATACTGAAAAGAGAACAGAACATGATACTGAGAAGAGATTACAACAAGAACAAAATAAAATGATGTAAACATAACAGGGCATTACAACGAGAACAGAATAAAATGATGTAAACATAACAGGGCATTACAACGAGAACAGAATAAAATTATGTGACCATAACAGGGCATTACAACGAGAACAGAATAAAATTATGTGAACATAACAGGGCATTACAACGAGAACAGAATAAAATTATGTAAACATAACAGGGCATTACGACGAGAACAGAATAAAATTATGTGAACATAACAGGGCATTACAACGAGAACAGAATAAAATGATGTAAACATAACAGGGCATTATGACGAGAACAGAAAAAAAATGATGTAAACATAACAGGGCATTACAACGAGAACAGAATAAAATGATGTAAACATAACAGGGCATTACGTCGAGAACAGAATAAAACTATGTGACCATAACAGGGCATTACAACGAGAACAGAATAAAATTATGTGAACATAACAGGGCATTACAACGAGAACAGAATAAAATGATGTAAACATAACAGGGCATTACGACGAGAACAGAATAAAATTATGTGAACATAACAGGGCATTACAACGAGAACAGAATAAAATGATGTAAACATAACAGGGCGTTATGACGAGAACAGAATAAAATTATGTGAACATAACAGGGCATTACGACGAGAACAGAATAAAATGATAAGAACAAATTTTGAGGCTGACAACGGAAAAAAACAAAAGAAAAAATAATGACTAATGACAACAGAATAGAACACAATGCTGGGAACAGAATAGAACACAATGCTGAGAACAGAATAGAACACAATGCTGGGAACAGAATAGAACACAATGCTGGGAACAGAACAAAACATGACACTAAGCATTTTTATAAACAGTATGCTAAGAAGAGAAAACAATAAAAAGAACAGATCTATCTTGTGCATAATTAATTTTGGCCATAGTTGTAACTTACTCTGTCTGTTGTGATGTTAATGTAGCAAATGTACATAGCAGAAAGAACTAAAGTAACATTTTTGTAGCACAGATAAAGTTACAGTGATATGCATATGACAGAAGAAGTTCACATCTGCTCAGGAGACACAGAATCAAAGTAGTGTCAATATAACTGTCAAACTATAGTACAATAATTAAATTCAGCCCAGGTAGCAGAGGGAATGAGGGGGGAAAAGATACAAGTTGGATGGATATATTGGGTTTAAGTGAATTAAGATGGCTTGAGGCAGATCAAAATTGGTTACTAGTCTAACCCTAAAATAAAAGGAAAAGAAGGACCTGTTCTAGAGATCTCTTCCTACCCTGAACCTGTGAGGTTCTCCAGAAGTAGAGATTGAAGAGAAGGAAAACACATGGAAGAAGTAGGCATCAAGATGACCAGTCTGACCTGAGAGACCCTACCAGCAGTTGTCTCCTACTGGCTGAGCTCCAGGAGTCATTGAGATAGTACAAGACCCTACCAGCAGTTGTCTCCTACTGGCTGAGCTCCAGGAGTCATTGAGATAGTACAAGACCCTACCAGCAGTTGTCTCCTACTGGCTTAGCTCCAGGAGTCATTGAGATAGTACAAGACCCTTCGCTACTTCCGGCATGCTGTTGATGGCATCATCCATCTAGTACCTACACAAATATGGTGCTTGCTTGTTGTGCATGGCATGAACAAGTTCCTCGACTTCCTTTACTTCCACGTGTGGGTTCCGGGGCCCCACTCTGACAGCTCTTGCTTGCTACATACATCCAGTTTTAACATATGGCTGTGAATCCTAGACAATCGGTAGGCAGGCCAAACAATTTCTTAAGGCCCCAGAGATGTGGTTTTACAGAAGAATGCTTAGAATACCTTGGACAGCCAAAAAGAACAACCAAGAGGTTTTGAAAGAGGCGGGAGCCCGAAGACAACTTATCACATACATCAGAAGGAGACAGTCATCATTTTTCGGCTATGTCGTGAGAAGAGGGAAAATAGAACATGTTGTGACCACTGGAAAGATCTGTGGAAGGAGGGATAGAGGAAGACAACGAGAAAAGATTCTTGATAGTCTTGTTGCATGGCATGGAGGTGTGTCGGCACACATACTGATACATGCTGCAGGAGATCATGGATTATGGAGAGGCATGATCGCCCACGCCAGTCGGCAAGGCACCTGATAATGATGATGATTCTGACAGCAAATTGGAAAAGACCCACTGCTCGCCCAACAAGTCTACTAATTAGAGGTTCCTCTTTCTAAGTTGGAGTGCATCTTCCTGAGAGGTGAGGAACCAACAGTCTGCCAAATAAATAAACCAGACCTGTAAAACAGATGTGCATGCAAAATGATAGTTTGGGAATAGGACTAAAGTCCAGAAATTGATAAAAAACCAGAATTTTCTGCCAGAGTTTACAGCTGGTGAATGTGAAGGAGGATGAGAAGAAGAAGAAGAAGAATTCCTTTACTTACTATGGTACTTTGAGATGAAGATACAGAAGGGGAGGCCTTAATACAATTAATTTTTAAAAGCGGCTGCCAGGTGATAAAAAATCCAAAAATTGAAAACATGTCAAAAATGATTTCACAAAAACAAAAACAAATTAGATGTACTAACTCATGTTCTGAGATTTCCAATGGAGGATCAAACTGCTTGAATCTCATTTTGCTCATGATGTCTTTGTAATCCTGGTTAAAAATTCACAACAGGAAGTCGTCAACATGACAAGGGAGTTCACTCTCACTATATCATAGACCTGTTACACTGGATTACCCTTTGGAATTCTCTTTGTAATTAATGTCCAATAGTTACCCTGTACTATAGCTCCTGATGGGAACAACTCATATTTGTCTTCTTCTCTTCCTCCAGTCAAAAAATAAAAGTGTTGGGAGAAGATGTAAAGATCTTATGTGTACACATTCTAATGTGTTGTACAAGTTCACCTTTATTTCTTTAAGATTTTATCTGTGTTGATTATATTTCTTCAGCATGGCTATCAGTGGCAGTTTGTACCACATGATTCAGTTAGATGGCCAAACCATCTTATCTTGTGTTCTTTAAAAAAATATATGTCCAATAATCTTACTAATTCTGTTTGATATTCATATTCTCAATCATCTTTTTTTTTTTTTTTTTTTTTTTGAACGTATCCAGAAACCATGAGTTGTAAATAAACCCTTTGGCTCGGTACTATGGATATCGCAACCCTTCGGCCTTGATTCCATTATAGGTACCGTTAAATCTGGGAGAAATGTGGCTTTTCTGCCTACCCCCGGGAGTGAACCCGGACCACAAGGAGTTTGTCACCCGGCCGCCACGAAAGTCAGGTTTAATCAACTTCGCTAGAGAGCCGGGCCAATCATCTTTGATCCCTTCTAATGAATAATTCTAATTATCAAACATTCACCATATGTATGTCAGCATCAGCAAAGCTTACTGTCAAGTAACAGACTAGATCTACTAAATACTTGGATTGAGTGTCTTTAGGTGTCTCAGCAACACTTCACCTGAAGTAAGTATAGGACTCTTTTCAAGGGCATATAGTGCTAAGCCTTTATTTTGTGTAGACCAACTGGAACTTGATGTGGTCAACCACGTTTACTTTCCAGGACATTTTCTTGTACCCATTTTAGGGTGGGTCAACCTATGAGCCAAAGTCAATTTTGAAAAAAAAAACAATATCCACCTTGATGTGGATTTGAACTCTAGATCTTTTGGTCGGCAGGTAAATATCTAGCCACTAAACAACTATGGCTTCCTTTTAAAGTAAACAGACTAGATCTAAAGAAGTATCTGGTACTAGTAGTGGGAGTCCTGTTCACGTTTCCAGGCCCAGGATTAGAGTAACTTCCCTTGCCATTCATGCCTCCTTAGGTCGCTGGACCTCTCCTATGTTGCAGGGGTGTTATGATATGGCTTGGTTTGGCATATGCTTGGTGTAGGTAATGTTTGTGGAAGGTTGTGTTGTTGTGAGTCTATTTCAGGCTCTGTAGGCGCCTGTGTAGAAGTAACAAGTACTGCAGGGAGAAGCGCCGCAGGCAAGTTGATTCTTGGCTATCGAAACAGATGTTTTCGTATTCTAGGTTCGTTGACAGCCCCCCCCCCCACCCTCTCCAAAGACAGAAAGCAGCTACAAGGAGCGTAAGGGCCAATTGGTCTAAAAAATATAGGTCTACCTTTTATGCCTGAAAGTGTGGAAAAGTTTTTTTTTTTTTTCTTCACTTTACAGTAAAATTTATCCTAAAGTAATGAAATAAATAAATTACATCTACCACATTCTTAGTAGCTTATATTTGGAGCATCTTTTTGTTTAAATCCACTCTACTTCTTCTTCTTTTTTCGTCTCAATTATACCAGATTGTAGTCCAGTGTCGTAGTTTTCTTTATTTGTCTTTGTCCATTCTACTTGCTAATGTAAGGGCTGCTTGGTCTCGAGGCTGTCCCCCTCGAGTGCTAGAGGTTCTGGGTTCAATCCCTGGTAAGGGCTGGAATTTTTTCACCTGGATTTGGACTTCTAGTAATTCCCCCTGGTCTCTTGGTAGTGAGACCAGAAGCGCATGTGCATTGTTGCACACAGAAGCAGAGACTGTTTAATAAAAGTCAAAAGAAAGACGGCCATAGTAATAGAAATTAAACAGCATTTAAAGTCTATAGTTACATATCAGAAAGAAAATCAAAGTTAAAATTTTGAGAGCTTGTATCTTCTATGTAGCAACATTATGGGCACATGATATAAGTGACTCCTTGGGCATATGGGTGCATGAGATAGGAGAGCTGGCAAGAGACCGAGTTTCTTTCATGCAGACCGTGCTGACAGCGACTGTTCTGCAAAGGATCTGCTACATGATGATGATGATGATGAAATGAAAATCAACGAAACAAGTTACCGAATTCCGTCTCTCAATCTCATCCTGATGGGCAGCCAGATGTGAATTGACAAAACACAGAGAAGTGTTATGAAAAGTCAGTCGCACGGACACTCCGCCCTTGTTTCCCTGGGGGGTCAGATAACACACACTTACAGCATGTTGTAGAGCAACAACACACCATGCTGATTTACACACCACTGTATGACATCATATAATGATATTTATTGTAATACAATAACACTGATGATGTTCATGATGTTGGTTAAACAGTGACAGTTGGTATAATTGACGTTATTGGTGATGTTGATTATTTTATTTGGTTATGTTGATGATTTAAATTGTTATCTGAATACATTGTTGATATAAATTTTATTTTGTTATGTTGTTGATACAAATGTTATCTGGTTAGGTTTTTAAAATAAAAAATGTTTTTTGGTTACATTGTTGACAAAAATGATGTAATTTGGTACAATGTTGATATAAATGAAGCTATCTGGCTGTTGACATAAATGTTATTTAGTAAGTTGGTGATGTAAATGATATTCAACCATGAGATTTGTTAAAAAAAATGATATAATCTGGATGCTGACAAAATGTTTTATGGTACGTTGTAGATATATATATAATATTAAACCATGAGATTTTGTCTTCTTCTGTGTTTACCTTAAAAGGGTGGTTGGCATATTGTGCTGTGCTTTACAGCTAGGCCGTGATATCTGTGCCTTTCAGCCTAACACATCCAATTTCAGCAAAGCCTTACATTTTATGACATGCTTGTGTAGACTAACCTTGATATCAAATCTGGAGACAGTTACTGGAGGAAGCCATAACAGCGCAGGCGCTAGATGCTTGCCAGCTAGTCTGAAGATACTGGGTTTGAACCTGCACCAAGGCATTCTTCATAACTGATCTTGGCTTCTTCCACAAAACCCAGCCTAAACTGGATATTTCACGCAAAGAAAAGGTGGCCAACATGATCTTTAAAAAGAACCAATTAGTCTATACAATTTTGGCTCCAGCACCATATGTCTAATGTTCAAAAGGACTGAGAAATGTCCTTGACTTGTCAACACAGTCTCTAGTAATGACCTCAACACTATTATGGCAACTAGTGTTATTAGTTGGTCGTTGGATGCAATGCCAAATACATGGGTCAGCCCATAACAGCATACACTGTCCCATGTGAACAGTTAAAAAAAGGCTTCCGACATGCTAACAGCATGCACACACATTCAAAGTATAAGGCAGCTAACAGAGATGCCAAACATTACCAGTCCAACAGTACAAATGCAGTTCATATTTGACAGCCATGACAAACCAGCAGTTGCAAACGCATTACCGCATAAGGCAAAGCTACTGTGGCAACAGACTACCAGCCATTTTATCAACATTAGGCTCAATAAAGAAACCACCATGATCACAAACAAAAAGCATTCCTAAGAAAAACCACAGCTCACAGTGTCACACCATGCACTCATCTCAGTGGTTAGATGAAGGAAATATGTACTGTAAGTCCACATATGAGGAAAATGTGTCAGGAAAATGTGGCCAGAAGCAAATAATAGTCAAAGGCTGAAATTTAAGGGGTGACCTGTCTATCTGGCCTACTGTGATGTCACAGATACTTTACAGTGATGGTTATTACTCTACTGGATGTGCCAATAACACAACACAGACCAGTGATTCCCAAACTGCGCACTGTGATGCCCCAGGGAGCCATGACCTCTTCACAGGGGCGCTGCAAAATATTGTAAAAGCTTCACAATTAATTTAACAAAGACATGAACAGTCACACTTTTACATTGGTTAGGGAAAGGCGCCGCGACCAAGAAAGGTTTGGGAAACACTGACACAGACAATAACAACTTACCATAATTCCCATGATTCCTGTAGCTACTGAGTCAAAATCAATGTAACTGATATGCTTCACATGCTTTTCTTGAATGTAGACCACAAGTAACATCCCCACCAGACGGATGGACTTTACCTGGGAAAAGGACAAGATGTATGTTTATGTATGTGGCTTAAGGGAATTCTGCCAATAACTGCCTTTTTTATCACTTTTGCAATGTAGGCAGAGGGATTTTTTAGCCTGGGGATTTACGGCTGCGCATGGCTAGTGCTGTTGCCATGACTGTGCAGGTGAGGATTTTATTTTGCCCCCCAACAGAAAAAATTCCCAAGCCTTACCGGAGATTCAAACCCGGGTCTCCCGGCTTAAAGGAATGAACAGATGCAAAACAATGCTAAGGCTGAGCAGCAGGGTCCAAATAGCCCAACTGAGACTTAATTCAATGAGTTGATGAAGTTAAGATTGTGAAGGACTGAAACCCCTGGGACTGTGCATGCATCTCAGTGGTTCCCCTCCCTGGTGGAAACAATTAAGAAAACTTGTACTGTCCTGTAGGTGTCTAGATTAAACCTTGCAGCATAATGTGGCGACAGTCTCTGGGAGAAGTTATAGCAGAGCAGTGAGTGGCTATATCCTTGCCTGCTGGTCTGTCCATATTTCTCTCAGCTGGTGCACACATCTCCCAGAGAGTGCACACATCTCCCAGAGAGTGCACACATCTCCCAGAGAGTGCACACATCTCCCAGAGAGTGCACATGTCTCCCAGAGAATGCACACATCTCCCAGTGGGTGCAAAATCTCCCAGTGGGTGTGACATCTCCCAGTAGGTGCGACATCTCCCAGTGGGTGCAACATCTCCCAGTGGGTGCAACATCTCCCAGTGGGTGCAACATCTCCCAGTGGCTGCACACATCTCCCAGTGGGTGCGACATCTCCCAGTGGCTGCAACATCTCCCAGTGCGTGCAACATCTTCCAGTGGGTGCAACATCTTCCAGTGGGTGCAACATCTCCCAGTGGGTGCAACATCTCCCAGTGCGTGCAACATCTCCCAGTGGGTGCAACATCTTCCAGTGGGTGCAACATCTCCCAGTGCGTGCAGCATCTCCCAGTGCGTGCAACATCTCCCAGTGGGTGCAACATCTCCCAGTGTGTGCAACATCTCCCAGTGGGTGCAACATCTCCCAGTGCGTGCAACATCTCCCAGTGGCTGCACACATCTAAATGTTGTCCACTCACTGAAGGAAGCACTTAACTCTGTGAAAAGGGCATCACTATATGACTTTCAAAAACACAGCATATACTGAGCTGCATTTAAAATATTTGACCAGATTTCTTTTGCTGTGCTGATGCACATATACATAAGCTGAGCATGCATGGTGCATTGGTTGGGGCGGAAGGACTAAAGGAAGTTCTCTTTGGAAACTGCTATCGCAATCCACGTGACTAAAATTTGGTCTACCCAGGGCTTCATACAGGAGGTGATTCTTGTCTGCTGATTGTCATGCTTTGAAGTGTGCCAATACTTCCCAGAACATTTCCAGGTATTCATTTCTGACTGGATTAAGTTGGGAGCCCAGGTCATTTTAAAAATAAAATGGTTCCTGTGCAGATTCAAACCCAGGAAAACCATTTTGGCAGGCAAGCATGCTAGCCACTGCACTAACTGGTTCTCCATACACACAGAAGTCAACACTGTTTCTCCAACCACCACTATCACCATACAGTGTCTCTGCTTGTGTTTAGAAACCAAGAAAGTGACGACAACAACAACAAAACACTGCTGACCCATCTGACCTTTATGTAGGGAACTTTTGTGTTGACACATTTGGACAATTTATCCTGCCATTCTGCTTCTTTCGAAGAGTCCATAAAAATGAAAGCTTCTTTACTGAGATCAAGTTCTTGGAAACTAGTCAAAGAAAAAGAAAGGGGTAAAATGAGTGTCTTCTTCTTCTTCACTTCCTCTTTTACCACTGTGGGTGTCGAGGGAGATATAAGGTTCTGTTTCTAGCTCTTCTGGCCGCCTCGACCATAGGCTCATCGTGCTGTTGTAGAGTTTCTCTGATGTCATCCTTCCATCTTGTTCTTGGTCTACCTCGTGCTCTATGTCCTTCTTCTCTTTCCATGTATGCTTTGTATGCTATGGTGTCACAAGGCATTCTCTCTAAGTGGGCAAACCATTTCACTTGCTGTCTTCATATGTAATCCAGAATTGGTTCTGTGCCGACTTTTTCTCTTATGATCTCATTCCTGATCTTATCTCTTATGGTCACTCCTACAGCCCTTCTCAGACATCTCATTTCCGTGGTTACTAATTTTTTTTTATGGTTTGTTGTGAGTTACCATGTCTGGCACTGGTAGCACAGAGTTGGAATAAATATGCTTTGAATTAGATGTCTCTTTGTGCTGATTGGGATTGTCTTATGCTGTAAGTGAGTGTAACAGGTGTAAAATTACTACATAATCTGGTTCTTGGGCACAGTAAATAGCAGAACAAAAAAAAAAAAAATATGTTTCTTTGCAGAAAGAAAAAAATCTAAGTATGATGATTTTTTTAAAAGTTATAACCTAGCCAGTGATAACCAGAAACTGAAGACGTCAAAAACATAGAAGGGCTTCAATGGGTGAGTGTGTCTGGCCAGAGGCGCAGTGAGGGATTTTAATCTTAGATTATCCCTAAAAAATATTGTGTTCAGAGGAAATCTGAATGTTATGTTTATAATGGATTTTATTTCTGTATGGCCCAACGACCAGGTTGGTAATTCTAGATCTGACCTGCCCACCCCTGATTTAGGGTCACATGACTAGTGCAGCTGCCCCCTGACTGTACAGGTGGGGATTTTATTCTTGAAACCTCAGAGAAAAATCCATAACTTTACCAAGGTTTTGAACCTCGGTCTACGACATGAGAGTCTAGAATTTTTTAGCAGCCAGCCACTCCTGAGGGAGAGGTACACATTTCTAATTCTTTAATACTTCTAGTATAGTAATGTAGGATATTTCATGTCCCAATGTGGTGATACCATTTGAATTCATTTGATCAAGTCTGACAGTTTAAAAAGCTTTTTCACAACAACAACAAATGTGATGTCCTGTGTGTACACACAAAAATGTGATGTCCTGTGTGTACACACAAAAATGTGATGTCCTGTGTGTACACACAAAAATGAATGACTTGGTCTGTTTTATTCAGGTGTTTAAAGAAATTATTGTCTTGGGCATCTAGTGTTTGTTTTTCAATTAGTTTCTGATATGAGATACACTACAGCTGACATACAGCTTATTGTACTGTTATTATATAGTTTATACTACAGTTGATATACAACTTATACTAGTTAATTTACATCTTATACTAAAGTTAACTTACAGCTTATACTACAGTTAACATATAACTTATACTTCAGTTAATATACGGCTTATACTGCAGTTAACATATAGCTTATATTACAGTTGATATACAGCTTATACTACAGTTGATATACAGCTTATTCATTCATTCATTCATTCAGTAGCATGTCCCTCGCGGAACCTCGCTGCCATAACAACCCTCCGGAAAACCTTCCTATCCTGAGCAAGATGTCCTGCGTCTGATACACCCATCTGGAGATCATCTGCCACATCCTGCACCCATCTTCTCCTTGGCCTTCCTCTTTCTCTCTTCCCAGGCATATACCCCTCCATTATTGTTCTCTCTAGACTTCCATGACGTTTCAAGTGACCAAAATATTTCAATTTTCTTTGTTTTATTGTCTTTACTAGCCAACCCTCTTCAATATTCAGCTCTTGAAGTATGGGATGCATTTGTTCTTTTCTTTACCCAAGATATTCTTAGAACCTGTCTGTAACATTTATATTCAAATGCATTTATGCGCTGTTCCGCTTGTTTAGTAAGTGTCCAGGTCTCACAGGCGTATGTTGCAATGGGAAAGATGCATGCTCTTAAAAATCTGACCTTTGTAGTTCTATCTGTACAATTCCATAATTTATTCAGTTGTTTTAGTCTTTGAAGAGCAATTGATAGTCGCCGTTTAATTTCTTTCATTGTGTCACCATTGTTGGTAACCAGTGACCCAAGATATTCGAAATTTTCCACCACTTCCAATCTTTCCTCATTAACATATATTTCCTTCTCCATGGCAGTTTTGTTTGTATGCATTATCTTTGTTTTTGCTATGTTAAGAAATAAGTTATGATTTTCACTATTTCTTTGGAGTGAGGTTAATAAGTTTTCTAAACCATTTTGTGATGTTGATAGTAATACTGTATCATCAGCATAACGAATTTCTGGTATTTTGACCACCGATGTTTAGGGCATCATATTGTTCCTTGTTTATATCATCTCTTACATTTCTCATTAAATTTTCGGCGTACAGGTTGAACAAATACGGTGACAGCACACCTCCCTGACGGACTCCTTGCTTGATGCCAAACCAGTCTGATGTCTCTCCATCTATTCTGACTGCTGCTTGTTGGTCTTGATAGAGCATTTTAATGAGCTGCACTATATGTGATGGAAAGCCCATATTCCTCATGATTTCCCAAAGCTTCTGATGTTGTACACAGTCAAATGCTTTTGAATAATCCACAAAACATAAGAACAGATTTACATTAAATTCTCTACACTTCTCTATTATTAAACGCATGTTGAATATATGATCTCTTGTTCCTCTTCCCTGTCTAAATCCAGCCTGAGCTACATTAATCTCTTCTTCCATTTTCTTATGCAGTCTTCTCATTATAATTTTTAGTAGAATTTTACTTGCATGACTGATCAGGGCAATAGTTCGATAGTTTGTACATAATTTCAGGTCACCCTTTTTTGGTATTGGAATGAAGATAGTTCTCTTCCAGTCTTTTGGCCAAATACCATATTTCCATATCTTTTCACATAATGCATGATAGATTTTTATGCTTTCTTCTCCTCCCGCTTTAATCAATTCAGCTGGTATCTCATCACATCCAGGTGATTTACCATTTTTCAGGCTCCTTATTGCCCATGAAATTTCATCTAATGAAGGTTCAGGTTCTGCCTCTACTGTTACTGGTTCATGTATATCATTCATATCCTCACTGTCATTCATATCATACATTCCGCTGCAGTATTCCTGCCATCTTCCTAGAATTTGTCTAGATTCTGTTAAAGTATTTCCCATCCTGTCACAAATAACATTTAACTGAGGTTGAAAATTTCTTGTCAATAACTTCATTTCCTTGAACATTTCGTAATCTCTTCCATTTTTATGATGCTGCTCTATTTTAATACAGCAATCTTGTACATACTGATTTTTATCCTTTCTTGTGTACTTTCTTATTTCTCGTGTTAAAAATTTATAACTCATCCTACTGTCATTGGTTTCTCCTTTCTTTTTCAGTTCCCTTCGTTGTTTTATTAGTTCTAACGTGTATGGTGTGATCCATGGTTTATGTTGCTTAGTCCTGGTGGGTATTAAGTCTTTAGCTGCTGTTATCAAGATATCCCTAGCTTGTACCGCCAGTTCATCAGGTGTCATTTCCTCTTGTACAGACATCAAGACCTCAAAACGGTTCTTCACTTCTACGTTGTATGCATCTGGTATTTTTGTGAGATCAAATCTAAATGGCCTTGGTCCTCGGGTAAGCTTTTTGAGTTTTAATTTCAGATCTGCTTCTAGTAACTGATGATCTGTATCGCAATCTGCACTTCGCAGGGTTTTTGCAGATGTTATGCTCGATCTCCATCTTCTTTGTATTAAAATGTAATCTATCTGATTTTTGGTAACACCGTCAGGGGATGTCCATGTGAAAAGCCTTCTAGGGTGTTGTTTATAAAGTGTGTTAGCTATTGTTAATTCATTTTCTATGCAAAATTCAATCAATTTTTCTCCTGTTTCATTTCTATTACCCAATCCAAATTTTCCTAAAACGTGTCTCTCATTTTCAGCTCTGCCTGTACCTACTTTAGCATTAAAATCTCCCATTATTATTATTATATCATTCTGATTAATTTTATTTAATGTGTCTTGCAGTATGGCATAAAAATCTTCAATTTCGCCCTCCTCTGCTGTTGAAATTGGTGCATATACCTGCATGAAAGTTATGTTTTTTGGACGGCCTTTAAGTCTGATAGTTAGGATTCTATCACTAACTGGATTATATCCCATAATAGCTTTTGCTGTTGTTTTATCTAAACAAAATGCCACTCCGCTCTGGCCTCTTATATCTCTACCAGAATATACGAAAAAGCTTCCATATTCATTGATAAAATGTCCCTTGCCACTCCAACGATGTTCACAAATTCCTAAGATCTGAATATTTAATCTTTCAATCTCATCACATACTACTTTAAGCTTTCCTTCATACAGACTTCTCACATTCCACGTTCCTATTCGCATTCTGTTTCTTAGTCTGACACAGTGGATTTCCTTGGTAACACAGTCAGGATTAACTCCGTCATCACGATTACTAGTACTGACCCCTGTATCACACTCTTCCCCAGTGTTATCTGATCTGCCTGGCCTGGGGGTCTCGCCACCAGATCTCTTCTGTGTTATGTTTTCTTTCATGATTGTTATGGATTCTTGGCAAAATTTGCAGAAGGTAGTTTGCCGTTGCTTTCCTCCTGAGCAGTGACTATACTAGTCGGTGGCCATAGCCTCTACTGATGAGATCATCTGCCTATCGCCGCAGAGTGCAGACCATAACCAACAATATCTGTCGGCTGCTCTTACACTCCATCCACCACCTGCTTCCATGGCTTCACGTAACCCTGGTTGGGGGGCTAAACGGGTACTCCACCTTGCCCAAGGGTGTCCCGTAGACTAGCGGAGGAAAGGAGGCGTCTTACTTCTCCTTTGATAGGGGATACCCCTACCCCGCTAACAGCTTATACTATAGTTAATATACAGCTTATACTATAGATGATATACAGCTTATCCTATAGTTGATATACAGCTTACACTACAGTTGATATACAGCTTATGCTACAGTTAACATACAACTTATACTATAGGTTGATATACAGCTTATACTACAGTTGATTTACAGCTTATACTAAAGGTTGATATACACCTTATACTATAGGTTGATATACAGCTTATACTATAGGTTGATATACAGCTTATACTATAGGTTGATATACAGCTTATACTACAGTTGATATACAGCTTATACTACAGCTGATTTACAGCTTATACTACAGCTGATTTACAGCTTATACTACAGTTAACATACAGCTTTTACTACAGTTGATATACAGCTTATACTACAGTTAACATACAGCTTATACTACAGTTAACATACAGTTTTTACTACAGTTGATATACAGCTTATACTACAGTTAACATACAGCTTATACTACAGTTAACATACAGCTTATGCTACAGTTGATATACAGCTTATGCTACAGTTGATATACAGCTTATACTACAGTTGACATACTTCTTATACTACAGTTGACATACAGCTTATGCTACAGTTGACATACTTCTTATACTACAGTTGATATACAGCTTATGCTACAGTTGATATACAGCTTATACTACAGTTAACATACAGCTTATGCCACAGTTGATAAAAAGGTTATATACCACAGCTGACATACAGCTTATACTACAGTTGACATAACATACAGCTTATGCTACAGTTGACATAACATACAGCTTATGCTACAGTTGATATACAGCTTATGCTACAGTTGATATACAGCTTATACTACAGTTGACATACAGCTTATACTACAGTTGATATACAGCTTATGCTACAGTTGATATACAGCTTATACTACAGTTAACATACAGCTTATGCCACAGTTGATAAAAAGGTTATATACCACAGCTGACATACAGCTTATACTACAGTTGACATAACATACAGCTTATGCTACAGTTGACATAACATACAGCTTATACTACAGTTGACATACAGCTTATGCCACAGTTGATAAAAAGGTTATATACCACAGCTGACATACAGCTTATACTACAGTTGACATAACATACAGCTTATGCTACAGTTGACATAACATACAGCTTATACTACAGTTGACATACAGCTTATGCCACAGTTGATAAAAAGGTTATATACCACAGCTGACATACAGCTTATACTACAGTTGACATAACATACAGCTTATACTACAGTTGACATACAGCTTATGCTACAGTTGACATACAGCTTATGCCACAGTTGATAAAAAGGTTATATACCACAGCTGACATACAGCTTATGCTACAGTTGACATAACATACAGCTTATACTACAGTTAACATACAGCTTATGCCACAGTTGATAAAAAGGTTATATACCACAGCTGACATACAGCTTATACTACAGTTGACATAACATACAGCTTATACTACAGTTAACATACAGCTTATGCCACAGTTGATAAAAAGGTTATATACCACAGCTGACATACAGCTTATACTACAGTTGACATAACATACAGCTTATACTACAGTTAACATACAGCTTATGCCACAGTTGATAAAAAGGTTATATACCACAGCTGACATACAGCTTATACTACAGTTGACATAACATACAGCTTATACTACAGTTAACATACAGCTTATACTACAGTTGACATAACATACAGCTTATACTACAGTTGACATAACATACAGCTTATACTACAGTTAACATACAGCTTATACTACAGTTAACATACAGCTTATACTACAGTTGACATAACATACAGCTTATACTACAGTTGACATAACATACAGCTTATACTACAGTTAACATACAGCTTATACTACAGTTAACATACAGCTTATACTACAGTTGACATAACATACAGCTTATACTACAGTTGACATAACATACAGCTTATACTACAGTTAACATACAGCTTATACTACAGTTGACATACAGCTTACACTACAGTTAACATAACATACAGCTTATACTACAGTTAACATACAGCTTATACTACAGTTAACATACAGCTTATACTACAGTTGACATAACATACAGCTTATACTACAGTTGACATAACATACAGCTTATACTACAGTTGACATAACATACAGCTTATACTACAGTTAACATACAGCTTATACTACAGTTAACATACAGCTTATACTACAGTTGACATAACATACAGCTTATACTACAGTTAACATACAGCTTATACTACAGTTAACATACAGCTTATACTACAGTTGACATAACATACAGCTTATACTACAGTTAACATACAGCTTATACTACAGTAGACATAACATACAGCTTATACTACAGTTGACATAACATACAGCTTATACTACAGTTGACATAACATACAGCTTATACTACAGTTAACATACAGCTTATACTACAGTTAACATACAGCTTATACTACAGTTGACATAACATACAGCTTATACTACAGTTAACATACAGCTTATACTACAGTTGACATATAGCTTATACTACAGTTGACATAACATACAGCTTATACTACAGTTAACATACAGCTTATACTACAGTTAACATACAGCTTATACTACAGTTGACATAACATACAGCTTATACTACAGTTAACATACAGCTTATACTACAGTTAACATACAGCTTATACTACAGTTGACATAACATACAGCTTATACTACAGTTGACATAACATACAGCTTATACTACAGTTAACATACAGCTTATACTACAGTTGACATAACATACCGCTTATACTACAGTTGACATAACATACAGCTTATACTACAGTTAACATACAGCTTATACTACAGTTGACATAACATACAGCTTATACTACAGTTGACATAACATACAGCTTATACTACAGTTGACATAACATACAGCTTATGCTACAGTTAACATACAGCTTATATACTAAGGCTGACATATAGCACATGTGGGAGCAGACCAGAAATTGGATACAAACCCAATAGCATAAATGTCGGGTGGCTCATCATCTACAAGCAACCATGGATTTAAGCTGTCTGGTGGAGCCTGGCCATTCACGTTCCAGCTTCCACAAAATAATCTGCAACCAAACAGAGTAAGACCATGAAGGCTAAGAATGACAATCAGATAAGGCTGGGGGAGAGGGAGTGGGGTTATTAAAAGACAGGAGAGAGACAGAAAGTGAATGTGGTAAGGAGGCAGGAGGGATGAGCAGAAAGAGTGAGGGAGTAGAGGAACAGTGTGTCACAGTGTCATTCATATTCTCTTGCCGGCTTTTCTGGCTCATGGACTGTCACAAAGAGAGAGAACATACACACTTTTTCAAAGGGTTTAGAATTTGGTACACAGGTCCACCTTACATTCTGCTGTTCTAGCATCACACCTCACAGGCATTACACTCATACATCATTTCACTGATAATTATAATCATCAACAGCAACATTTAAGCCTTAATTTTAAATGCTGGAATGTGCACTAATTAAGTCTACATTTCTAGACAATTTTAAATATAGCAAGTGTGAAAATCTAGGGGAATAATATAATATGCTTAAAATCTAATATCCATTCAGGGTACACATAGTCTGAGTTGAGATAATATTTGAATAGTATGTACTGGGATTATCGGTATTTTTTAATTGTTGCAGAAGATATCGTGAGTGTGTGCATGCATGCGTGTGTGGGAGAGTCCATGTGTGCAGCATATGGGCATGCATGTGTGTGCCCCCTCCACAAGACACACAGAGAAAGAGACAGATACCAAGAGAAAATGAAGAAATGTGAATCACATGCCATCAGGTTTGCCAACATCTTGACTACCTCACTGCCTATCTAAGATACCACACTGACCAAAAATCACTACACTCACGTAAAATGTTTCACATCTGTAAACTCTGACTCTCTCTGTACCAGGCACTGACGGAGGAACTTATCTCGGCTAGACACCGGTTTAGAACCGACAGGAAGTTCAATGCCTGATGATATTCCCAGTTGTTTCTTTATGGCTTCCATTGGCTCTCCAGAGTCGTCCGGGCTGAGAGGAGAGAGAAATACACAGTACACACAACAGACAATAATCATGGTTTTCTCTTCACTGTCATCTGTTTCGCCCTTCGCACCACTACTCACACCTGAAAATTATAAAATTGTATCCCAGATATGGTACAAATATAGACTTGACCATAATTATAACCGAAGCTGTCTTCAGCAGGGCTGAATGTAGTCCCCACCCCCATCCCCCCCTTTTTTTCAAATCAACAACAATATCTTGGATGGCATTCCAAGATACCAAGCTCCAGATACTACCCGGTTCAACCTTCAAGAAGTTATCATTGGGACATCTGTGTGGCTACATCAGTCTGGTCTAGCCTGCAGTCTTGTGCGGAACAAGAAAAATCACTGCACTGATTTCTTCTTTTCCTGCATTTTATTTCTTAACAGAGTACTCACAGAGTATGCTGAGAAAGGTGGAAACAGGCATGCTTCGTGCAGAGTGTCAAGCATCACTTCAGAGGTCCCAGGTAGTTAGCATCCTTTAAATATTTTCTCCAAAGCCGGTGTGTTGGGAAATTAGCAGGCAGAAAGACTGACTGACTCTGGAATCTTTGGTGGTGAATTGATGTATGACGTGCTAGATATTGTAAGCGCCCTTTGGGAACGACTGAACAGTGCAGAGGCGCAGATAGATCCTTATGGTCTGAGTAGATAGCGGCCGCAAGGAGTTACCAGGGAATCCAGCTGACGCTCAACACTCAGAGAAAAGATAAAACAGATACACAATCAGATGGTTACTGGTGCCATCAGAATTAGAACTCTTTGCTTGCTGCTGAAGATGGGGGACGGAGCACTTATGGGAGTGTTCCGAGTGCTGTGATGTGGATTCTTAATTCAACATTCTTAACAGAGCATAAATTATCAACCAACTTATGCCAAGCCTGTGCAGATTTGATCATGACTGATTGGCCTTGCAGCAGACATTTTCTATCACATGAGAAAGCCTGACGGGAGCTGATGTGATGTAGCAGCTAGACATCCGACTGCGGATCCGAAGATAGTGGGTTAAAATTCGAAAAGAGCTAGACTTGTTTTCAAAATGACTTTGGCTCTGAGGTCAACCCAGCCTTAAATGTGTACCAAGTAAAGTCCTGGGAAGTTAAGGCAGTCAGCAGGATACCGACCACAACACCCACCAAGTGTCGATTGGTTTATAAAATATAGTTCTAGAAGTATATTCCCAACACACCTGGAGATTTGATTCTTAGGTGTAATTTTCTGGACAGCAGAAAAGGAGTGACATCACCTGTCTGATCAGGAAAACATGGAACCAGCATCATATGCCAATATAACATGTAAATATATTGTGAATCTTTTATCTATTTTTCTTTTTGTTAACAAAACAAAAACAAACAAAAAATAAACTGACCTGAGCATCTTGTCCAGGGAGTCCCAGCTCTGACTGGTGTGTAGTGTGTTGTTGGGTACAGACAGCACATCACGGACTGACACAGCAGCAAAGTTGTCACCAAGACTAGAGGCCGGGTCGACACAGTCTGTTGTTTGTGACAATGATGATGGTTATTGGTGAGTTGGAATATATGGTTGAACTGGGTGGTTGCTGAATACAGAAACGTGAACTGGGTGGTTGCTGAATACAGAAACGTGAACTGGGTGGTTGCTGAATACAGAAACGTGAACTGAATGAGGGGAAAAAGAGGGGAGAGTAAGGCAGGGAGAGGAGAAGTGAGAAAGAAAGATGGGGAGAGTGACATGGAGAAAGAAGAAAAGGATGAAAGGATAGATGGAGATGGGAAAGAGGAGTTGGTGAGAGAGGACACCCAATTAGGGAGAGACAGATAAGAGAGGAAAATAGTGATGAGAGTGGTGGGACAGAAAGGTGGAGAGAGACAGAGACACCAAGAAAGAGGGAGCAGAGACAAGAGTGTACGGCACATTTGTCCCTTCACAACCTCCTAGCAGGTCTTAGCAATTGAGCTTCGGTTGCACAGATACCGTGAGGATGGCCATGTAACACTGATATACTGGAATGGTGCGCCTTCTTGGTCCAAACCTGACTGCTCTCAAGGGCCCTTAAAAATTGTTGGCATCTTTCTGGAACCCCACAGTCACCAACCAGAACCCTGGCTTCTAACTGTGCAATAACAATCAAGTGAGACCTCAGGCGGTTGTGGATATGTTGTGTATTCTGTCAGGGAGGCTCTCAATGATGTGCCAAATGGTTGTAACCGTATATATGTTTAATGGAGAGTTGAGATGAGTTGATTTAAGAACCAAAATCACAGCACTCAGGGCACTCGCATAAGCGCTCCTTTCCCATCTTTAGCAGCCAGCACCGAGTTTCAATACCTTTGGTGCCAGTAGCAGTCTGATTTTATGTCCGTCCTGCCTTTCTGTGAGCCAACATATATTTACAGATTGTGAGCCCATCTCTGGCATTCATCATCATCATAAACCACTTCTGCCGTTAAGTGTCGTGGGGAGGAATAATTTGCATTCCAGTGCACGTTGGCTGCCACTGGCTATTGTCATGCCGTAAAGGCGTAGAGTGTCTTTAATGTTGTCGATCCATGTTTTCCGTGGCCGTCCTCTTGCTCTTGTAGCTGATCATCTGTGATGTAGCGCTTGTGATTGTATTTGATCTTGCTGCATTCTAACGAGATAGCCAAACCACTTGATCTGCTGTTTCTCGATGAATCTAGTACAAGGTGTCGTTCCCACAATTTGCCTGATAGTTTCATTATTCACTCGATCTCGTATGGTAAGGTTGGCTGCTTTTCTCAGGCACCTCATCTCGCAGGTGGTGATTTTGTGTATATGGGCTTTATATAGTGTCCATGATTGGCACTGGTAGCTTAATGTTGGAATAATTATGCTATTAATAATCTGTCTCTTTGCACTTATAGTTAATTTCTGGCATTACAAGGAGAAATTGTGCAGTGCTGTAGTTTTCAGGTTTGGCTGTAACATCTTTCTGCTTTATAGACATCTTCTGGCCTGGCAACACTGACAACCATGCTTTTTCTTTTAGAATGAGCTTCCAGAGATAGATTTCTGTTTCCAGCTGATGAGTTCTATCTGCCCGACAACAAATAGTAAACACACAAACAGACAGTGTCGCACACAAATAAATATGACAGAATAGAAATAACAACAAAAAATAAAGAGTTCTCCAATGACACAATACAACCACCCCCAACAATGGGTGCACATCATGGAGATGAGGTCCACCAACCTGTGACCCTGACTACAGTGTCTGGCTGCTCTAAGTTCATGTGTCTGAGGGGATCAAACTCCTCCAGCGACACTCTTTGCGCAGAGTGTGCTCCCTTGTTGTTACCATACCTGCTCAGCCACTGGGTCCAGGTGGACTCACTGAAACACCGGCTACTGACCTGTTCTGCAATAAATAAAACAAATATGGTCGATTCTTTATGAACATCCACAATTCTACAACAGGTGAAACAACTGAACTCCTAAAATAATCAACAATAAACACCTTTCAATCTTTCCAGATGATAGTGTTATACTGTGCTATGAGAAGGCATGGGACTCACAGCCCTTGGTGATGGCAAGGGTGACTAGCAAGACCCGCCCGCATTTAGAAAATTTTTTCTCATTTATAGCATGGGATTTCAGGACTATTGTTGTCAACATTTGTGTGTTTAATGTATTCCTTCTTAGATGCTCAGCCTTCATACTTTCTGCAATCATTGCTTCCTTCGTTCTCATTCGCTTCCTGATGGGCTCCCTCCACAAAACATGGTCATAGCTTTTGTTGCTATAAGCCCACCTCAATACATATATCATTCATGTCCCTCTTGCCCACATCTTTACATCACAGTAGAGGTTGGCCTCAACATCTTCTACCCATCTTTAATTCACCACAGAGGATGTCCTTGGGGACTCTGCCGTCCTTCATTCTCCAGGTGGTGTGACCCAGCCACCTGAGCCTTCGTAGAGTGGGCATTGAGAATAGTGTTGCAATACCTGCTCTTTTCCAATACCTCAGTGTTTGTGATCTTGTCCTGTCACTTATACCAAGTATTCTTCTTAGGCATCGCATGTGAAAGCTATTTAGCCCTTTCTCCTGGTGCAAATAAGTTGACCAAGTTTCACTGCCATAAAGCAGAATGCTGAGAACACAAGCCTGACAGACAAGAGTTTTTGTTTTAATTGTGAGCTTTCTGTTTAAACTTTTTTGTTAATCTGCTCACTGTTGTTGCTGCCTTACCTATTCTGATGTTGATTTCTTGGTCCAGCGATAGTATGCTATTCAATGTGTATCCCAGATAGGTAAAACGATCAACTTTCTCCAGCTCTTCACCCTCAATGTAGACTGTAGGTCTATCATTAACACCTTGCACCATAACCTTTGTCTTTTTTTTGGACTAATTGTTAGTTGAAATTCACAGCACTCATTAGCAAATGCAGACAGTAAATATTGCAGCTCCTCCTCTGAGTGGGTGGTAATTGCTGCATCATCTGCAAACAGCAGCTCTCTGATAAGTACCTTTCTTATCCTGGTTTTGGCCTTAGCCTACAAGCATGTGAAGGCTGCCAACCCTCCTGATCTCAAAAAGTTTGTGAATTATAACCAATTCCAAAATGATAGGAATAATTGTAATCAGCTTTTTAAAAATCAACAAGTTTGATATGGATGAAACAGTTACTTCCAATTTTAAAAAATTCAATATATGTGAAGCAAATATAAGCAATGAAAAAGACCAAGATATTCTTATATATGTGAAATAAATGTCATCAATTAAAAAATAATATTAATTCTGATATACGGAACAATTATAATCAATTTTTAAATAAAAGGAAACAATTCTGATAAACTTTTTAAAACCAAAAATTCTGAAACATGTCAAGCCGTTATGATATTCCGAAGACAGAGAAAAGAGAAAAATCTTTGAATTAATTAAAGCACTTTTTTCCTTAAACCCGCAGTGGACGTACCATAGCCAATGAGGTTTTACCGAGGTGTGGTTATTGCTAGTTGAAAACTTATACCTCAAGGCAATGATAAAAGTAAAGGGCCCTTTTCCACACCCTCAGGTGTACTCGGTATATAGGGCTAGACCTATAGTGTATAGACCAAACGACACTTGGTGGGTGATTTGGTCAGCATCATGCTGACCGCTTTTACTTCCCAGGACTATACCTGGTTGAACCTAGGAGCCAAGGTCATTTTTGAAAAAAGTCCGGCCCCTAACAGGACCCGAACACACAATCTTCTGATTCGCAGGGGAACATCTAGCTGCCAGACCACAGCGGCTCCCTTAAGGCCATTAAAGGTAACTAAAATTTACAGAAAAGTATCTTTTCAGTCTATCAGCCTATTGAGCAAATGGTACTAATCCCGTATTTTTAGACCAAATGGCACTAGCTGAGGATGCAAATACCATAATAATGGCCTTTATTTTCAGGATAATATCATAGCATTATTTTAGACCCAGGCTGACCTTGTAGCGCAGCTAAATAAAAGAAATGCTGCCTGGAGGGTCAGAATTATAAGCACATGACAACCGGGCAGAAAGGCAAACATGTATTAACATGCTTAACACTCTTAACATCTTTAACACAACAATAATGATAGGTACCAAGAAAATGGTACAGTTACTGTAATCTCTATCAGACTTTCAACGTTTTGAAGCCCCTGTCCCTAACCCAGTAACTGTGCTACTTTGACTCCCACAAGAAATATAGGAAAAAACAACTTGAAACAAAACAGCAATAAGAAGAAAGACATTTAAAAACAATTACACAAGAAAGCACGTGAAATAATGGGGTAGAAAAGCTGTTTCATTAGATAATAACAGAACAAAGAAGTAGAATTATCACTACTGCCTGAGTTAACCACTTTTTAGGGAGGTGTAAGTTAGGGAGGTATTCATCCTGAGGTTTCAAGGCCACATGGGTAGGACAGTTGCCACAGACTGTGCAGGTTGAGATTTTATTTTTGCTCCTGGTAGAGAAAAAAATGTCTCACCTTACTGAGGATTCAAACCGGGGTTTCAACAATGACAGCCCAAAGTAACAAAAGTAGAATGTATTATGGAAGTGAGCTACTAACTACGCTGTAAACATCTGGGTGATGCTATCTTACAATCTCTCCCCTAAGCTCCATTATTGATATAAATATCCAGCTTTTGTTCTTCATTTATGTGTCTGCTTTAGTTAGGCAGGATGAATGGCTAAGTCACTGAGGCATTTCAAAAAACTGTTCACCACTGAGGCATGCACTGCCATGATTGTTATCAACAATTTATTTATGTTTAGTTTCACAGTACTGCTTTTTTTTTGGGGGGGGGGGGGGGGGGGGGGGGGGGGGGGGGGGGGGGGGGAGGGTAATGAGAAGAGAGGAACTGCAGAACATGGTGACACCTGAAAAGATCAAACAGATCAAAGACATAGGTGTCAAAGCCAATATCAAGACCCAGTGGGTTATTCAGGTACCTCTGGACTAAAAATACAATAGTAAACTGAAATACTTGAACAAACTTAAAAAGCATATGCACAGGCTTTGTTTAAGTAGTTCACAACTGCGTAAGTAGTTCACAACTGCGTAAGTAGTTCACAACTGCGACCGTGTGGGCTGTGTGCGCCCGTGTGGGCTGTGTGCGCCCGTGTGGGCTGTGTGCGCCCGTGTGGGCTGTGTGCGCTGTGTGTGCCCATGTGGGCTGTGTGTGCCCGTGTGGGCTGTGTGCGCCCGTGTGGGCAGTGTGCGCCCGTGTGGGCCCATGTGGGCTGTGTGCGCCCATGTGGGATGTGTGGGCCCATGTGGGCTGTGTGCGCCCGTGTGGGCTGTGTGCGCCCGTGTGGGCTGTGTGCGCCCGTGTGGGCTGTGTGCGCCCGCGTGGGCTGTGTGCGCCCGTGTGGGCTGTGTGCACCCGTGTGGGCCCGTGTGGGCTGTGTGTGCCGTGTGGGCTGTGTGTGCCGTGTGGGCTGTGTGCGCCCGTATGGGCTGTGGGCGCCCGTGTGGGCTGAGTGCGCCCGTGTGGGCTGTGTGTGCCCGTGTGGGCTGTGTGTGCCCGTGTGGGCAGTGTGCGCCCGTGTGGGTTGTGTGTGCCCATGTGGGCTGTGTGTGCAGACTACAGAACATGTCCTACAAGAATGTACCTTGTACAGTTTATTATGAAGGGAATAGTGGCCCAGTAATTTCACACTGCACTCAAAGTTGTATGGAACTAAAAGGGAAGTGCTTAAAAAAGTCAAATCACAAGAACATGTCTATCAGTGTCAATCAGAAAATGATTACAAGAAGAAGAAGTAAAAACTTGAATTTCTAATACAAAATGCTCCATGGCTAAAAACAAATGAAAAAGAAAAGATAATGCAGAAACACAGCAATACTGTGGTGGAACAGAAATAAATACTCACTAGTTTTGGAATGTTTGATGATTTCTGTTAGGAACTCGGTGGTGGAGTCCTGGCGGGGCATTTCCAGCAAGACATGGTGGTTTGTGGTTTTCAAATGGAGGTGAAAGTCCGCTTTGTAAAACAATATTAGCAGAGTAGTTAACATTACAGGGTACAAGTCAGGTTAGTCAACACTGCATAGAGTAAAAATCAGATAGGTCAGCAGTGTATAGGGTACAAGTCAGATAAGTCAACACTGTATAGAGTACATGTCAGGTTTAGTCAACAATGTATAGATAACAAGTCAGACAAGTCAACACTTTACAGGGTACAATACAGGTTAATCAACACTGCACAGGCTAAAAAGTTTATCAGTACAGGGTACAAGACAGGTTAATCAACACTGCACAGGCTAAAAAGTTTATCAGTACAGGGTACAAGACAGGTTAGTTAACATTGTACAGCAGGGCTATTCAACTAAGTTTACTTGCGGGCCAAAATGTTGAATATGGGGATCGTAGCGGGCCAGTTGCCCGAGCCAAGTGTGGGAAGATTATTAACACTACAATCGGGAAAACTGTAGATGTGTAAATTTTATACACTCTAAGACTGTTACGCCTAGGCACCCTAGAATGTACAGGGTACAAGACAGATTAGTTAACATTGTACAGGGTACAAGACAGATTAGTTAACATTGTACAGGGTACAAGACAGATTAGTTAACATTGTACAGGGTACAAAACAGATTAGTTAACATTGTACAGGGTACAAGACAGATTAGTCAGTGTCTGCAACGTTGTCTGTTGCAGCAAGAATTACAAATATTAGAAATACCCCTTGTTTGTATGTCGGTACAACTTTCCATCATTATCAAAACAGTTAACTTACTGCGTACTCATCAGTGCTTTTTGATGCATGTCTAATGTTGAAGACAAGTGAAAGAAAACACAAAAGTGGGATAAGATGGTAACATAAACAGATAACAAACATTTTTCATGCCAAAGACATGCTGCAGCAGAACGAAAGCAAAAATGCAGTTTTATTGTTCCATAAGCTGCAAAGAATCATGCTTCAAGGAACATTACTAACATGCTGTGGAACTTTCTCTGGGAGCTACAGTGGTGCAGCGGCTAGATCCTCACCTGCCGGCCCAAAAGTCTTGGACTCAAAACCTCATCAAGTCAAATTTCAACAAAACGACATCGGCTCCTATGTCAAACCAGCCTTAAATGGGCACCAGGCAAAACTTTGGGAAGTAAAGGTGGCCGGTGTGATCACACAACTGATGTGCCAGTGGCGTGCAAAGAGGCCTTTACTTCTTATTTACCTGAACTATATTTCTGTCCAAAACATTTCTACTTGAAATTAGTGGCTATCTGATCTATCGAGTTAAACTGCCGATAGCTGGTACTTCAAACTGATAAATTTATTGGTTCACATAGTTGACATAATTAATGTTGGGGACAGACAGAAATAAAAACACTGTGCCAGAGGGAAATACCAACTGGGGGAGGGGGGGAGGGGGCATAAAAGTGGCATAACTGACAGACATATCAAGTGTAGTCAACAGTAGTAAAAGTAACTGCTTTGTTAGAATGGGATAATAGACAGAAATATTGAGTGTAGGGGACAGTAGTCAAAGTAGCTGCTCTACTAGAATGCTATAATAGAAAGAAATATCAAGTGTAGGGGACAGTAGTCAAACTAGCTGCTCTGCTAGAATGGTATAATAAACAGAAATATCAAGTGTAGGGGACAGTAGTCAAACTAGCTGCTCTGCTAGAATGGTATAATAAACAGAAATATCAAGTACAGGGGACAGTAGTCAAAGTAACTGCTCTGCTAGAATGGTATAATAAACAGAAATATCAAGTGTAGGGGACAGTAGTCAAAGTTACTGCTTTGCTAGAATGGTATAATAGACAAAAATATCAAATGTAGGGGACATTAGTCAAAGTAACTGCTCTGCTAGAATGGTAGAACAGACTGAAAAATAAACAGATAGGGAGGTCTTGGGGCCACTGAAGCAGTAAAAGGGTTACACCAAATACAAATGTCCTTGCAGTACTAGAGTGGATCAATACAACAACATCTGTATAACAACAATCTGGAGCAGATAGGGCTTATTTAAAGCCAATGATGGTTGGGATCACATTCCTAACAGGCTCAGAGTGATGCAAACATTCACAGTTGGCTACAGCTGTTTGTTCCTGGCTTGTGTGTTTGCTCACCAAAACAGTAGTCCTGGGTTGAACTCTCTATTGTGGTGAGTTTGGGAATTTTTTACAACCAGTACAATGCCTTTAAAAAAAATTAGGTAACATATGGTCCTGGCATGCAGTCCTAGTCCAAAATGTGTTTAGATCAATCAGTACTTGATCAGTGATGTCATGCAGATTAACTCTTCTTTTCAGAACATTATCTGTCGATTAGTTTTAGGCTGAATGGCGCTGCAAAAAGTTACCAGGGGATCTCGCTGATGCTCAACACTCAAGGGAAAGGCGAGGCGGATATACAATCAGATAGTTACTGGTACCATCGGAATTTGAAACTCTTTGTTTACTGCTGAAGATGGGGAGGGAGTGCTTATGGAAGTGTCCCGAATGCTATAATGTTGATTCTTTATTCAACATTCAACATTTTTTTTAAGGCTATATATTGTGTGATGAGCTAAAAACTGATGTCAAAGCATTCGGGCCATTCCCATAAATGCCCCATCCTCATCTTCAGCAGCAGGCAAAAAGTTCCAATTCAGATGGTGCCAATAGCAGTTGGTTTTAAGTCTGTCTTGACTTTCTTCTGAGTTTCAACTGTCGGCTACATTCCCTGGTCACTCCTAGCTTGACCATTCTCTCCGGACAATAATTATTTATTCATTCCCTTTATTATTTACTTGCTTCTATTGGGTCTTGGCCACATCTATCTTGTCATGCATAAATTCACTACCTATGGATGCAGAACCAGCTAACCTATCTTTCTGTTCATTTCCTAACACTCCTGCAAGCCTGCTTTTAAGCTGAAGGAAGAAATAAATATCCATAACTGGTATACCAGTTTATGTCTGTGATGAATTGGGTACTGTTAATTAGGCAATTCTGCACAAATGAAATGTCTGGTCTGAGGAAAATGCAATGGTAGCAACTGCCACAGAAGACAGCACAAAGAACACAGAGCAAGGAGAAGACCACACAAATAGTGAAATGACGGCATCAAGAACAATTTTAAAGAACTGAAGATTAATTTTACAATACTTCAGAAAGAGCACACAGAAGATCCTTATGTCTCCTTCAAAGAGGAAGAAGATGATAAAAGATGATTTTGAATCCGCAACAATGATCAGACTGTAAAAAGCAGAAAGTTCACACAGGCAAGGTCAGATAAGAAAACTATGTGGGAATCCAAAGAAGAAGAATATGCCACCACAGTCACTATAGGATGGGATCAAAGGACTTAGGGACTGAATGGTTTAATGTGCTGTGAGGATGGCCTGTCAACTAGCTAATTAGACAAATGGGTTCTTTAATAATATCTTACCCAGATGACGCCACAGGACAGTCCAACATTTTAGAGGGTGGTAAGACTGGGTTTCCCGGCTTTCTGATGTTCTTAATGACACCAAAACATCTAGAACTAGCCCTAACCCCAACCCACCTACGTCCCACGAGAGAGTGTAGCCTAAGCCCCATGACTGCATGCAGCCTAGGTCCCACGACTGCATGCAGCCTATCTACCACCCCCTGAAATAGTATACTGTCCTGTGACCTGTCAATTTATTCTGTTTGAGGTAGGATATTGATAAAGTACCGACAAATGGCCACAGGACATTAAATATATACCTCCTGGCTGGTTGTCTTGTCTTGATGGAGCCTCTGTAGGAAAATGAATTCAGGGTTAAACATTCAACAACAGGGTAATGCAGTGGGGGTTTAGTCATTAGTGAACTATCAGATGCATGTGACCGGTAGAGTGCTAGGATCAAACCAGATATGTATTAGGAAACTTGGAAATTTTCTAAACTTTCTGAACAAGAAATGTGACTAATAAACTGGTCACCTCAAAGAGCTCAATCCCAATAACTGCAGGGATTTTTTGTTTCTTTCTGATGAGAACAGCTGTGGGGATTCATTCAAGCTTCAGAATCATTATCATCACATCTTGTTGTACTATTATACACACAGTGCCTGCAATTTATTCTTCCATTCCCTCCCATGAAACGTTTTTAATACTATAGATGGAATCCAGTTGAGAACCCTTGGCCTGTCTCACCAACATTCATCTTAGGGTTTCTTTTGAATGTTCTCATTTTGTTTTGTCAGTCAATTTGTCTGCCAATGAAATGCTTGTTTGATGATTCTGTATTCACATCTCCTCAGGATGTGACCAATGTATCACAAGAACAGGTGTTAGATCATCTGCAGAATTTTCTGAGGACCATCATCGTAAGGAAGGGGGACAGCTACTTCCACCTCGGTGGCCCAGAATATGTGACCACATCACACCACACCGGCTTCACACCCCAATGGCTTTATCTGCTATGGAACTATGTCTGCCTTGTGGTAAACTGTGGTATTCTTTATCATTATTATTCCTTGCACTTCCATAAATAACTTTTTTACTTTATTGCTGAGAAAATCAAGTACAGATCATTTGTTTTAGTAATTTCAAAGCTGAGTGATATTCAGTAAAAACCATTTTTTTTAAATTAAACTTTTGATGCCTGTGACATATCAGGCTGAAATTTGGTAAGACCAATCGGCACTTGATTAGTGATAAACTCAACATCACAGAACCACTTTTACTTTCCTGGACTTAAACTACTAGCCATTTCAGGCTGGGTCGACCTGGGAGAAAAGATCATTTCTGACAGAAATCTGAACTCAATGCAGAATCAAACTCAAGGCCTTTAGACCAGCAGGCAAGCATCTAGCCATTATGTCACTGCCCCCACATTTTCTTACTGGAAGGAATACAAAGTGCATGATAAGAGACTGTTGGAGATACCCTGCAGCCATGCCGATGATTTGTTGTATTTAGCGTCTAAGCCGTGACAATATCAGGAAATCAGCTTACAGGAAAGGGAAAGACCTTATAATTTGTTGACCTGATTTTTGTGTATTGACAAGGAGAAGTTGGGAGTAGGTCTGAAAATGCATGCAGAATGAACAAGGGGAATACAGGAATGAGACTGAAAGTGGGTTTTAGAAAAAACTTGGAGACAGACATGAGTTTGAAAGTGCAATGAAGAAATGCATATAGGAGAAGAAAGGAATGAGTCTGAAAGTGCAATGAAGAATGAACGTGGAGAAGCAGGAATGAGTCTGAAAGTGCATTAAGCTTTAACATAGAGAAGATAGGAAGGAGTCTGAAAGTGCAATGAAGAATGAACATGGAGAAGATAGGAAGGAGTCTGAAAGTGCAATGAAGAATGAACATGGAGAAGATAGGAAGGAGTCTGAAAGTGCATTAAGCTTTAACATAGAGAAGATAGGAAGGAGTCTGAAAGTGCAGCATAAAGAATTAACATGGAGAATAGAGGAATGAATCTGAAAGTGCATGAAGATCTAACATGGAGAAGATAGGAAGGAGTCTGAAAGTGCAATGAAGAATGAACATGGAGAAGATAGGAATGCGTCTGAAAGTGCATTAAGCTTTAACACAGAGAAGATAGGAAGGAGTCTGAAAGTGCAGCATAAAGAATTAACATGGAGAATAGAGGAATGCATCGAAAGTGCATGAAGATCTAACATGGAGAAGATAGGAAGGAGTCTGAAAGTGCAATGAAGAATTAACATGCAGAAGGCAGGAATTTGGAGAAGAAGAAAGGAATTAGACTAAGAGTGCAATACAGCATGAGCCTGACACAGAATAACATCAGAACAAGTGTTACAAAACAAGCTGGGCAAGAAGCTTTGTGGACAAGTATATCAGTCTATCACACAATTATTTCTGTGATATGTGCAAAGAGGGAAAAACAATACTAGGCTGAAACACATGCTTCAAGCAAAAATGGTATCAGCTTAATCAGTATTAAAGTTAGCTGTGCACCCTTTACAGGACGTTGCAGAACCAATCTTAGCATGTTTTTTTTTTTTGCTGTTTGGCTTTACCAGGTAATTTTTATATTCAATAGTTTGCCACTGCTCTATGAATAATCGGCTCAATACAACTGTTGAAATCAATGCAAAACAGTCTGTTGTTTTTTTTTTAATACGGAGTTGAAGAGCACAAACTGAGAGTACATTATTCAACGTTACAGTACAATAAGTGCTTCTTCTGTGTTTGATCTTAACATGGCAGCTGGAGGGTTGTGTTGTGGTTTACCGCTATGCTGTGATATCTGCACCTATCAGCCACAGACATCTGATTTCAGCAAATGCTAAATTAGGACATGCTTGTTAAGGAGCGACTGGTTTACACTTATTGCCCTAGAATGGATGGGGCAACTCAACCCACAGAGAGAGCCTCAGAATGGATGGGGCACCTCAACCCACAGAGAGAGCCTCAGAATGGATGGGGCACCTGAACCCACAGAGAGAGCCTCAGAATGGATGGGGCACCTCAACCCACAGAGAGAGTCCCAGAATGGATGGGGCATCTGAACCCACAGAGAGAGCCTCAGAATGGATGGGGCATCTGAACCCACAGGGAGAGCCTCAGAATGGATGGGGCACCTGAACCCACAGAGAGAGCCTCAGAATGGATGGGGCACCTCAACCCACAGAGAGAGCCTCAGAATGGATGGGGCACCTGAACCCACAGAGAGAACCTCAGAATGGATGGGGCATCTGAACCCACAGAGAGAGCCTCAGAATGGATGGGGCATCTGAACCCACAGAGAGAGTCCCAGAATGGATGGGGCATCTGAACCCACAGAGAAAGACTCAGAATGGATGGGGCATCTGAACCCACAGAGAGAGTCCCAGAATGGATGGGGCATCTGAACCCACAGAGAGAGCCTCAGAATGGATGGGGCATCTGAACCCACAGAGAGAGCCTCAGAATGGATGGGGCATCTGAACCCACAGAGAGAGTCCCAGAATGGATGGGGCATTTGGACCCCCAGAGAGAGTCAAAGAATGGATGGGGCATCTGAACCCACAGAGAGAGTCCCAGAATGGATGGGGCATCTGAACCCACAGAGAGAGTCCCAGAATGGATGGGGCATCTGAACCCACAGAGAGAGTCCCAGAATGGATGGGTATCTCAACCCCCAGATAGAGTCCCAGAATGGATGGGGCATCTGAACCCACACAGAGAGCCCCAGAATGGATGGGTATCTCAACCCCCAGAGAGAGTCCCAGAATGGATGGGGCATCTGAACCCACAGAGAGAGCCCCAGAATGGATAGGGCATCTCAACCCACACAGAGAGAGTCCCAGAATGGATGGGGCATCTAAACCCACAGAGAGAGTCCCAGAATGGATGGGGCATCTGAACCCCCAGAGAGAGTCCCAGAATGGATGGGGCATCTGAACCCACAGAGAGAGTCCCAGAATGGATGGGGCATCTGAACCCACAGAGAGAGTCCCAGAATGGATGGGGCATCTGAACCCACAGAGAGAGCCTCAGAATGGATGGGGCATCTGAACCCACAGAGAGAGTCCCAGAATGGATGGGGCATCTGAACCCACAGAGAGAGCCCCAGAATGGATGGGGCATCTGAACCCACAGAGAGAGTCCCAGAATGGATGGGGCATCTGAACCCACAGAGAGAGTCCCAGAATGGATGGGGCATCTGAACCCACAGAGAGAGTCCCAGAATGGATGGGGCATCTGAACCCCCAGAGAGAGTCCCAGAATGGATGGGGCATCTGAACCCACAGAGAGAGCCTCAGAATGGATGGGGCATCTGAACCCACAGAGAGAGTCCCAGAATGGATGGGGCATCTGAACCCACAGAGAGAGCCATAGAATGGATGGGGCATCTGAACCCACAGAGAGAGCCCCAGAATAGATGGGGCATCTGAACCCACAGAGAGAGCCCCAGAATGGATGGGGCATCTGAACCCACAGAGAGAGCCCCAGAATGGACGGGGCATCTGAACCCACAGAGAGAGCCCCAGAATGGATGGGGCACCTGAACCCACAGAGAGAGCCCCAGAATGGATGGGGCACCTGAATCCACAGAGAGCCCCAGAATGGATGGGGCATCTGAACCCACAGAGAGAGTCCCAGAATGGATGGGGCATCTGAACCCACAGAGAGAGTCCCAGAATGGATGGGGCATTTGAACCCCCAGTGAGAGCCCCAGAATGGATGGGGCATCTGAACCCACAGAGAAAGCCCCAGAATGGATGGGGCATCTGAACCCACAAAAAGAGCCCCAGAATGGATGGGGCATCTGAACCCACAGAGAGAGCCCCAGAATGGATGGGGCACCTGAACCCACAGAGAGAGCCCCAGAATGGATGGGGCACCTGAATCCATAGAGAGCCCCAGAATGAATGGGGCATCTGAACCCACAGGGAGAGCCCCAGAATGGATGGGGCATCTGAACCCACAGGGAGAGCCCCAGAATGAATGGGGCATCTGAACCCACAGAGAGAACCCCAGAATGGATGGGGCATTTGAACCCACAGAGAGAGCCCCAGAATGGATGGGGCACCTGAAACCACAGAGAGAGCCCAATCAGTGATTCTAGGCATGAAAGGGTATTGAAGATTCTGGAAGTGTCATTTATTTTTAGAGTTGAGTCAAGAATTGACATCACAGAACTCTGGGCACACCCATGTGTGCTGCGTCCTCATCTTCAGCAGATAGCACAGAGTTCCAATACTGAAGGTACCAGTCACAATCTGGTTATATGTCCGTGTTGCCTTTCTCTGAGTGTCGCGAGCCGGCCAGACCCTCTGGTTACACCCAGGTGCCT